ATCATTCTTCATTACATTATTTACCGACTGACAACATGGCTCTTTGCAAATAATTTTTAGAACCTCTAGACATATTCAGACATAAAAGCAGATACCAATCTTATCGGTTTACTAACATAGGCTAGTTTTTGAGACAACCGCTAAGAAGTGGTTTTACATTCATCCATTGCAGGTTCTCAAATACCAGTCGTGGCTTTTTCAAATAGTCTATTTGGCTGCGAGAAGCAAAGAGGGGATCCCGAACGCCGCTTAAATCCCATAATTGAAGAAAAATGTTATGTCTTTTAACGGTTTTATGGGAAATTAACAGTGTGCTAGTAAACCGATAAGATCTGCGTTTACTTTTATTTATCCATAATATTTATCCCTATCAACCTGCGTCTTGTTGCTCATAAATTTGAGGTTTATGTGAAAAACGTAAGTTTATTGGGTCTTTCAATTCAATAGTAGGCAGCACAAAATATCTTACTTCTAATTACTTTTTTATTTTGTCGCTGTTTCAGTGCTGTCTGTTTCCGCGATAAAATGAACTACTCTTCTTTGTCATTAGGAAAGAAACGACATGCCCCGCTTTTCATCCAAGTGCTTTTCTTTTTCTTCTCTTGTGCAGCTGCAGCACGTATTTAATAAGTGCCACAAACAGTCCGAAGCACACACTTGTCTTGTTTAAGTACAATATATTTTTTTTGTATTGCAAAAAGTCTTACCAAATGGTAAAATTCTTAAGTGTTCGCTACAGCGCTTCAGATATTAGGCAAACAAATTAGGGCTACTTGCAAAAGCTTATTAATGACGTACTCCGAGCGGGTTCTTGTCGCTTTCATTAGAGAAGGACATATTTTAATTGGCCATGCGTCGATGTGTCACATTAATTTTTCTAACACAGCAAACGCTCGTCGATTATGACATATTATAATATAGCAAAACTGTTGGTTAAAGCCGAGCTCAACCGTTAGGTAATCGCTGCTTCATTTTAAATTATTTAACATGTATATTAACCGACATCGGTTTGGTTCCTTGGTAAGGCAAAATTTAATGTTTCTTGTTTGTAGAGAGTAGTTAAAATACATTCCTGTGTGAACTGTATTAGCTGGAAAACAATAGAATAAGTCTGTTTAGTAATCTCTTCCCGAGAGTATGATCGTGATTCTAGGTTCGGAACATTACGAATACACAAAAGGATCTGACGGGTATATTTTCTTCAAATCAGCACGCTGTAAAATTTCCAAACTTTTCGCGCCGATTTTCGCTCAAAGTTCAGTTTTTGCCTAATTTTGGTTTGCTTGCTATCACCGTTCCGCGTCGTTTGCAGTGCTCCAATTTTCAGATGATTCACATATCAATACGTTTATGGGTTAAAGTTGGTGACTTCAGGATCTTAGCAAGAAAGTGCCAATACCACAAAAATTCTGTTCCTCTTCGGTGAAACCTTTGTACCATAACTCAGCCACTGATCGTAACGTCGCTTTTCTGTGGTTTGATTTGCTTTCATTCTTAAAACAATTTATTCATTGGGTTACTTCAGATCATCTTATTTCCATACCTAAATGCAGGTATGCTAACGATTGTTTTCAAGTGATACATTGTCGATTTTAATCTAATCGATTTTATAGAATGTTAAACTGCTTCTTAACACTAGATTATACCATAGAATCTACTGATTTGAGTAACGTTGCCTGTCCATTATGTTTATAAGTATCTGCCCTTTCGGTGAGTCGCATCGGATATTAACGCGTTACTTAGCCATAAACCTTATTTGGCACGAAGAAGAACAAATATCATATATTGAAAGCAAGTATTTTTGCAGTTTTTCCTTCCCCCTCTGACTTTTTTTTTCATCAAACGGTGTGCAGCACAAAACTTTTCTTATAATTGCACAGATTTTTGCCACTTCAGTAAGTACAATGCGTACTTGAGAGTCTAAGCCACATCTTTGTGCTGCTTTAATGATTTCTGCCGATGAAGACCTGTTGCGAAGGTTGTTACTCTGTCATCATCGTAAGGTCCTACCAGAGCTTGACAACAGAGCAAACCAGATTTTTGATATCTCTGATAGATACTGCAAACGTTTCTTGCTGCAGTAAAGGTAATATCCTTCCTCATCGGCCGAGAAAAAAGAATTTGTTAATCACAATGAATCAGCCGAATTTGGTCTGTTCGTTTCTTTGAATTAGAACGATCTGGTAGCATTGACAAGGTGAAACATACAAGAACGAATGACGGGAACGGTTAACAAATAAATTACGTCAAAGGTGAGGATTTGAATTCAGTGGTTGGTCTTTGAAGAACAGCAGTTAAATATTCATTCTTTTTCTAATGATTCAGCAGTCGTAAGGCAATGAAAATTTGTCGTAAATTTGGTATTTCTCTAATTAAAAATTCATTAAATCAGTGTTTTGCTCATTTCATTGAGGCTGGAAAAAACATGCTGGAATGGTACAAAGTGTTCCCGCTTCCTCGTTGATTGCCAACTGTCAACGTTTTCGAAAAGGACGTAAGTTCGACGGTTTAATGACAGAATGAATAGAGTCACTCGACTAACAGGTAGGAAGTTATTCCGTTTCCTCTGTCTTTTCCTGTAACTGATTTGATGCACTTTGCACTTTGGAAGCTCCGATCTGGTAATTCAACTGAAAATACGTTCTTGTGCATTATTTTATAGTTTCTGTTGGCCTCGTCATCTGGAACATCATTGTCAAGGACAGAATACACAGATTAATGATATTTAAATAAATGAGTCCAAAGCATGAAGGATTATTTATTTAATGATATTTACTTTGTTACAATTTATCGTTCCATTGTTACATTTAATTTATTGAGCTTTACATTGTCGTAAAACGTGTAATACAGCCGCTATAGTTCATCATTCCACAGTATTCTGATATTTACATTATCTTCTGATTTCGTAATTTTCTTGTTGTGTTTAAGATGGTACTCCTGGGCGAGCTCTTGCGACAAAACAGTCTTTCATTGAACGAAGTCACACCGAGAAAGCAATAAGTTTCAGTAAACTTTCTTTTGCATTACATTTAATAATACTTAGAAATCGAATATATAAACAAATGTTATAGTATACTTCGCGGTGGATGCGGTAGAATTTAAAGTTGCCAGTGCATCTGTTCTGAATTTAATGTTGGAGGGTGTTGTAATTTAGGGAATCTTAGTAATGAAATTTCTTTAAAGCTGTATGACGCCATGCGGTAAAATTTTCTCGAAATGATGAATGACGGTCGTGGAAGACGGTGGACGAGAAACTCGTTCCGATGGCGTCGGGAGACGTCGAAGAACACGCCATATCACTGGGCGTCTCGTCATGAGCTGGCAGTTGGGAATGCATTGTCACATTCGAAGTACCGAGTAGTGAACCGTCAAACTTTCAGTAAACAGTTCCCTTCTAAAACGCTCACCGTTAGAGGACGGGGACGTTCTACCTCTGCCTCGGCCAGCCATGTCTTTCGTCCAAAATGCGAGAACACATCAAGGAAAATACGGGCGGCGATCGCACCATCTATGGCTACTGATAACCAGCAAGCAGCGTTAAGGATCATCGGCAAGTATCAAATGCGCCGTTGCCCGGCGGCTATGCGGATGGTTGTCGTGAGTCGGTACAAGATGATGCGAAAGCCAGAGTCATCGTTACCCTCGTCCATCGTAGCTTTTCCTCCGTCGCCCCTTCTAGTGGTCAGATCAGCGCCCGGAATGCAATCGAACCGTCGTGGTCGTCGCTTCAACCCCCGACCCACCGCCACAACCTGCTATGATCGTCACAAACTGGTAATGAATCGTTCATCGGCACCTTTTACCACCGCCGTCTCCTCCTCATCGAACTCTGTGCCGTTCCACATCAAGAGTCGGTACAAAATCGACAAACAGTTGAAAAGTTCAGGAAGATGCGCCGCACAGTACGTTTTATTCGTTTGGCATGATTTCTCGTTTTAACTCATACTTTGTCCCGATTAATGAAAACAAATGTGACATACAATAGTGATATTTATTACTTTAAAATTAATAAACAGGACGAATAGGGTTTATATGGGTTTATTGAATAAGGCATATGATTTCTTTTTGCTGGAGATGATATGATTCCGTGGTAAATCACAGACTGGAACACAACACATATAATGTTCTTTAATTAGGGCGATCTGACGTTCGGGCCAAGCTCGGTCAGTCATCAGAGTGCAATCTCTGTAATCTTGTAATTGGCCCTAATTGGCATCATATATGGGTTTAGTAAAACATTACGCGATATAAAGATTTATTTTCGATTATACGAATCTGTCACCCAATAAATCATTAACATGCGTCTTTTTCGAAACACTGCTGAATGAAAGCCTCTCGAAGACTTTATTATGGAGTTCTGTTCTGTGCGGTTTTCGTCTATTTTGATCGAACATTTTTTGTTCATTCTGCCCTCGATTTAGCAGTGTTTTTCTCTTCGGGCCATTTGCTTTCTCTTGGAATTTTGTCCTATGTCTCTTTGGATGGTAAGTTCTTCTTCCACCATGTCCTTTGATTGCCACTTTAATTTTTTCATTCGGGCGATGACACCAGACTGCTTTTTGTACACTCATCCATTCATTCGTCTTCCTATCTTTTCGTGTTATTCCGAAGATACATCTTTCAACTCTATTAAGCAGTATACAATTTTAGGAATTATTTTCAAACTGCCGATCGATTAGCACAAATACCGACCAGAAACCTGTTTCTGGCACAAGGCGCTTTTGGATAAAAATATTTTTAGTTGTCCAAAAATGCTCCATGCAATTTTTGA